TATACATATATATATATATATACATATATATACATATATACATGTATATATACATATATATACACATACATGTATATATACATATATACACATACATACTGAAAGAGATTTAGCTACTAAAAAGCTCAAGTATAGATAGTTATTTTTCAAAAGAGATATATTGAATATGTCCTAGGAATATGAGACATTTATAAGAAATTATAAGATTCAAAACACTAAACTTGGATGCAACTGTCCAGGGTGATATTTCATACCTTTTTCCTAGCATTTCTTTTAGTCCTTAGGAAATAATTAAAAAAAAGGAACATGATAAACCTATAACACAGTACGTTATCACAAATTTGACAAAGCAACATCATTTTTTTCATCAGCAAACACCTCGTTGTCCTCTTTAAAGTCCCTTATTTTGTAATTTCTGCAGTCATCCACATTTTATATTTAGTCTTCCTTTTTTTTTTAAAAAACTATATATATATGTTTGCATGCCTGCTCTGCTGCAGATCCTTATGTTTTTCCTTTTTGCATAGTCTGAATGCTGTATGATGGTATGTATCTATATTTGAGAGCATTTTAAGTTGTTTCGCTATATAACAGTAGAGAAGAATAAAGGTTAAAAGTTTACTTTTCTCCCTAATTTTAAATACTGTCACCATCGTCGTCCCACTCTCCTCGGTTTGCAAACCTCTCGTTGAACTTTGTGTTAGCCACGGCAGAGAAATGCCATATTAAAGCATAACAAACATCTGGGAGCAATAGTGGTTTTTTTTTTCTATTATTATGAATATACTGTATATAATATAACAGATGAGAGTAATCTACAACCTTCTTCCTGTACTGTGTTACATTAAATGGCAGCTGTTTGAGTAGTGTGTTCTGCTGTAATATTCTACCATGATCCTTTCAACGACAAATAAAAAAAAAAAACATTTTTGCTCAGGAGAAGTGTTTGGGTTTTTTATATTTAATATTTTAGCATGAATTTTAGCTAAATATAAAACAAATTATTCATCAATTTACTATTTTTTAAATAAAGGTTGGCAGATCTGTAAAGTAACCTGTGTGATGGTTGTCATATTTTCTCTGCACTGCCCCCTTTGGGTAGATGGGATTATGGCAGAGCTCTACCACAAGATTGTTGTTTTTTAACTGTAATTTTTTTTTCTTATTGACAATAATTCCCCTGCAGTTCCCATTGAACACAAAACACAAATCAGTGCAATTTCCCCACTGTTGCACTATGAAAAATATTGAAATAAAAATGTCCCCCTAGTGGTACCCACTTCCTATTTTGAGAACCTCTGTAGTTCTAGTGGCACAGCTACTAGAACTACAGACGTCACCGTGACAGACGACACCGTGCTTTGCTCATATTTTGGAGTTTTACTTCTTAAAAAAAAAATCACGTCAGCCAGTGGCGTCAGAGGTCAACTACGTAGATAATTACAGCATATATAAGCTATTGTTAAGAGGCCAAATTGTGGTTTAATCAATTAAAAGTTTAATCTGTGCAATATTTGGTCAATATTAATATTCAGTATTATTATAAACCTCTCATTTGTACTTGGTGATGTATACACTGTACTTGTAATTATATATTTTATATATAGATATATTGTATATTATATACAATATAAATATTGTATATTTTTTAAATCATTTTCTACATGTTTTTTTTTACATACCTCTTGCTTTTCATTAAATCCTCCAGCATCCTCTCCTCAGCCAATCAGAGTCCAGACACGCTACAGCACTTGTTTGAATCGGATCCTTTTAATTAGGCAGCAGACAACAGATGTTAGTGAATTAGTAATAATATCAATACACATATCTATAATAATAATAATATTTTTGGTATATTATTATTATTGTTATTATTATTATCATTGTTGTTGTTGTGTATTATGACCACAGAACTGCTGACTTGCAGTAGTCAAATACCCAAGTACATATTTGTAAAGCACTAGAACAGTTTGTTCTAGTGTTTGTATGGTCCAAAACAGGCAGACACCTTTTCAAAATAAATGTCATTTCTTTTCATGGACTCCACACCTTCACCATTCATGTTCAGTTGCCTAACAGAACTCTTCAACCTTCACCAGTGTTTTTTACTGGGTGTTTCTTATCCATTACATGTTATTAACTCCCCTGCTGTATTCCATGTACGTGCAGATGATGTCGAGCACCAGTGGAGAGGACATACTGTACATGAAGAGGAACGGACAAAGCATGGATTTGTGTTTGTGTGTAGGAGAGAGAGAGAGGGTGGGGGGAGGAGAGAAAGGGGAGAGAGGGAGAGAGGACGGCTCAAGGGCATGTAATACCACTCTGAGCCTGGTGCCAATGAAAGAGGGGATTATTTCACATGGCCCAGGTGTCCTGATATGAGACACGTCAAGCCGCCCATCCATCATTCAGTGGAGTCTAGAAATGAGAGCTGGTAAAGGCCAGGGATTGGGTCTCCATGAAGTTATAGGGTGTGGATTACACCTGCAGCCGACACCCACCCACACTCGGCTCCACGTACCCATCCCAGCAGGACTGAGTGGTGACATTGGATTATGGTGACATGGCAGTAACGTGGGTCTGTAAATATAGTATAATGACCTGCTGCATGTTGGAGCTGTTTGACCGTAATCTAGTGTTTCTGACACAGTGTAAGCCACAGATTAGAACAAGAGGCTAAAGTGACGACGATGAGGGGAAGGGCACGGGCATGAAGTGGCGTTAGAATCTCCATCACACAGACATTCTGTTGAACAACAGTTATGTGTAGTTAAAACTGCATGGAACTAAGTTACTGCAGTTACTCCATCACTTTAAACTACGAAAGTTCTGCCAGGAAAAATCTATTATGCACCCATCTATACCCAAGAACTCCCAAGAGACGAATAAAGTTCTAGCTAGTCTAATCTTATCCAATCTAATATATATGTAGGTACTACAACAGTCCTTTCAAGGACTCCAACTCCCAAAATTCCACTGCTTCCGGTAAATCCACATACGTCACGATCAGTAACCTCCGCAACCTTTAAATTGGGGGGCCAGCCCCAATATCGTTCTCTCTTTTCAGGACTTTCGCTCCGTAGGACCTCGATGAAAAGAGAAAACCTGCTCGTCTCAGAAGACTAAGAACCAACGCGCTTTTGTAGACACCATTGCCCACGGTGATAAATGCACTAGTAGCGTCTTTTTCTTAACTGAGTTAACCGGTAATTAAGTTACACAAGTAACGTAGCGCTGCGACCAAAGCAGTTATTGAAAAGTTAGAAGCGACAGGATTCCTTCTAACGGTATTCGTGTGAACCGGCACATCGACAGTCAGAGACTTTTCCTCCTGAAACGGACTTTCGGAACCAAGAGGACTCTCTGGACACAGTGGAACCAGACGGACGTCCCCAGCTCTGGCAAGGACCCAAGAAGCACGGACTTTCCACTACCCTCTAAATACGAGCAGACGTTCACTACAGTAAGGCTGGCATTTGGGCACGTTAGTTAATCTGTAGTATTGTTAAGTGCTATTTAAACTTAGGGACAGTTTAAGTACGCATATTGAATTTTGTTGTCTGAAATCTGTGCTGCTTTTATAGCTAGGCTGTTGCATGCACTTCTTTTCTAACCTCCTGACTCGGTCTTATACTCTTGTACACCGTCAGTATTTCAGTGTTAACTTGTAACGTTATCAGTATTGGGATCAGGAAAACTCCGACAAAGTCCTTTGTCTGGAGTAGACCACGCGGTACGCCTCCCTTCCCCCATATACTTTGATAACATCACAAGCACTGTTTCATTGTACCTGAGCGCATCTTGGTGCGCGTACACAACACCCATTCACACCTCCGTGAGCGCATACACGCCTCACGTGTTTCCTGTTGCCGTTCCTTCTACCTCGCAGTTCTTCTTCCACTGCGCAGTCGCGTATGTGAACACGCCTCAAGGGCTCAGTCGCTTGCTTGGTAGCTGAGAGGCAACATCTCTCTCTCTCTTTCTCTCTCGTACACGACCGCTCGTGTACACACGCACATAAGTACACACACACCCCTACACACACGCCTTGTTTTGTTATAATGATCATTGTTTATGAGTTCAATCACCGTCATTAACTTGACAGTGTTGTATAAATAAATTTGATTATTTTTGTAAACTGTATTTGTCTGTGTTGTTACTTTATTCATTGAAGCCACCCAATTTGCCAAGAACTCTCAAAATCCTTCAGATATTTAATTGTTATTGGATACTATTGATTTTAGTATATTTGTAATACTTCAAGTAATACATTATTGCTATATTAGTAGGTTAAAATAATAATTAAAGATAACTTTAATGAGACTGGTTGTGTTATTAATTTGAGACTGGTTGATAACACCGAGTGCTCCTAAGCAGCACTCGACCCATTGCACCTACAATTCTTTGAGCTTTAAACAAATAAAAGGTAAATACAATGACCTTTGTTTCTGTATTTGAGCTCTTTGTGTGTGTTAACATATCACTTACTTAGCTTACTGCTAAGAGACTTTGGTTGATCTCAGCTCCTTCTATGCGACTGTGTCTGTTTGTTTTTTTGGTGTCTGATGCCCTTTCACTTCCTGCCAGGTCTATAAACCACATACTGCAGGCAAGAAAGACAGATACACGTGTCTCATGTTGTCATTAAACACCATGTGAAATAGTTTTTTAATAATAAACATATGTGACCATATCAAGTGATGGACATACCTGCCAACTGTCTGCTGGTTTGGAGAACGAGAAGAAAGCGGATTTGCTCCACTTGTTCCCTGTGTGTGCTCCTAGCTGCCGTGAGAAATCACCTTTTCAAGATGAAGGAGGTGACAGTAGGACAGAGAGACCAGAGACAGATACAGAGGGAAGTGATCAGGGTATGTAGTCATCAATACACCATACTAAAACTGTATATGTGCAATAACTGTATAACTAGCATTACCTTGTGTAATAGCAAAAATGTCCATTCTCATGTGGAATGTCACTCACCTGTTTATTTAAGTATAATGGTAAAAATCGTAACATGTCAAATTGTTTGACTGTCATTATGTACAGTCTTTGTTTCTCTGTATTATTATCTTCTATAATTAATTGATTTATTATCTCAATTGCAATATCTCAAAGTAACTATACCTGTAAACTGGAAAACTACAAAATTGCAAGCTGATATCTTATTTGTAAAGCACTATGCTAGACTTCACTCTTTATACCGCATATTGTACTTTGCTGCTGTCAACACTGTCAATTTCTCCACTGTGGGTCCAATAAAGGAAATCTTAATCTTAATCCTAAAAACATGATAAAGCATTTGCATTGAATCCTGGCCTATTTTTGTTTACAGTAATAATATGTAAATAGTAAATATGTTCTTGATGTTTAAGTGTAAATAAGAGCATCGGCGCTACATTTGTAATCACTACAAAAGGAATAAAAGCAAAAATGAAATGAACCAACACCAAGAATATTTTCATGTTAACTATTAATTATAAAAAAAAGATACAGTGATGTAGAATATCAATACACTATTGTGAAATAATACATTAAGATATTTCAGTGTATCAATATTTTCTTACACCCCAATCCACCCCCATGACAACACAAACCACTATCACTAAAATTTTTTTTGCAGCAGTAGAACTCTGTGGTAGCCCGTAATTGTAACGAGCCACTGTCTTTGCTTTATAAATAAGTGGATGCTTAGTCATGTCAGTGGTCAGTACAACGCTGTGAGCAGCATCCAGACACCTTTTAACTTTAGAACAACACTCTTCATACAATGAAGGTATTTTTTCTCCCATGAAAAATTTCCTACTTGGCATCCTGTAGCGGGGATCAAGTGTCTTTATTAAATTCTTGAAACCCTCCTGTTCAACCACAGAGAGGGGTTGTAGGTCCTTCACGATCATCATGGCAATACTCTTTGTGATGTCCTTGGCTCTTTGTGAATTATCTAGGTGAAATGACAAAATGATTAAGTCTGTAACTGTAATCTGAAAATAGCCTAAATAGGAATGCTACTTTTCCTTCAACAGTTAACACTAAAGAGTTATTATAGTCAGTAATATTCATATTTCAGGTTTGAGGTATAGAGCCTATCTTTATATGGGTAGCTATATTTTTGGGTTCCAATAAAACTAGGGCTGCAGCTATTCTTCAATTTAATTGACTAATTAGGAAAAAAAATGGTTTGATGCCAATTCTGTTACATCGAGAACTTGTTTAATTATTGCTGCGTACTAAAATTACCCGTAAAAAGCTGGTGCGAAGCAGACAACCAAAACTTTTGCGAAGTTTGTTTGTTTATAACCCTGACCTGGGTATTGTTGATTTTTTGGCTGAAAAGCATCTGCCAGAGTACATTGTCTCTGTGTCCGCGGGGGTGTTCTGGCTTGGGGATCCCCCCCCTCCTCCCTCAACTTCTTTGCTTGCAGCTCGTTGCTCTCTGTAGGGTGAGCTTTTTTCATATGTTTGTGTAAATTCGTGGTGTTACCACAGTAGCGGACCACTTTATTACACAAATCACACTTGGCACTGTGTTTTTCTGTTGTTGTAAAAAAAGTCCACACCGCGCTCCGCTTCTTGTTTGGCTCTGCCATTGCTTTAGGTTCCGGCTGCTCTCACTCTCCCGTCGCCCTCTCTTCCTGGCAGGCAGGATGCAGCAGGCCAGTGGCCAGGTAGGGGGAGGGGCTAAAAGTGTGCCTGAGTCACTCACTCAGGCAGAGACTCAGAGAGTAGCAGGGGGCGCTGGGCGAGAGAGAGAGGGGGCTGCGCTATTTGCGCAGAGAATCGGTGCTTTGAGGAAATTGGTGGAGGAGCGAAGTATCGATCCCAGGACAACAGTATCGATCCGATCCAGGTACTTGCTTAGTATCGATAATATCGATATTTGGATCGATCCGCCCACCCCTACTGTTCAGGACTTTCGCTCCGTAGGACCCTGATGATAAGAGAAACCTGCTCGTCTCAGAAGACTAAGAACCAACGCGCTTTTGTAGACACCATTGCCCACGGTGATAAATGCACTAGTAGCGTCTTTTTCTTAACTGAGTTAACCGGTAATTAAGTTACACAAGTAACGTAGCGCTGCGACCAAAGCAGTTATTGAAAAGTTAGAAGCGACAGGATTCCTTCTAACGGTATTCGTGTGAACCGGCACATCGACAGTCAGAGACTTTTCCTCCTGAAACGGACTTTCGGAACCAAGAGGACTCTCTGGACACAGTGGAACCAGACGGACGTCCCCAGCTCTGGCAAGGACCCAAGAAGTGCGGACTTTCCACTACCCTCTCAATACGAGCAGACGTTCACTACAGTAAGGCTGGCATTTGGGCACGTTAGTTAACCTGTAGTATTGTTAAGTGCTATTTAAACTGAGGAACAGTTTAAGTACGCATATTGAATTTTGTTGTCTGAAATCTGTGCTGCTTTTATAGCTAGGCTGTTGCATGCACTTCTTTTCTAACCTCCTGACTCGGTGTTATACTCTTGTACACCGTCAGTATTTCAGTGTTAACTTGGAACGTTATCAGTATTGGGATCAGGAAAACTCCGACAAAGTCCTTTGTCTGGAGTAGACCACGCGGTACGCCTCCCTTCCCCCATATACTTTGATAACATCACAAGCACTGTTTCATTGTACCTGAGCGCATCTTGGTGCGCGTACACAACACCCATTCACACCTCCGTGAGCGCATACACGCCTCACGTGTTTCCTGTTGCCGTTCCTTCTACCTCGCAGTTCTTCTTCCACTGCGCAGTCGCGTATGTGAACACGCCTCAAGGGCTCAGTCGCTTGCTTGGTAGCTGAGAGGCAACATCTCTCTCTCTCTTTCTCTCTCGTACACGACCGCTCGTGTACACACGCACATAAGTACACACACACCCCTACACACACGCCTTGTTTTGTTATAATGATCATTGTTTATGAGTTCAATCACCGTCATTAACTTGACAGTGTTGTATAAATAAATTTGATTATTTTTGTAAACTGTATTTGTCTGTGTTGTTACTTTATTCATTGAAGCCACCCAATTTGCCAAGAACTCTCAAAATCCTTCAGATATTTAATTGTTATTGGATACTATTGATTTTAGTATATTTGTAATACTTAAAGTAATACATTATTGCTATATTAGTAGGTTAAAATAATAATTAAAGATAACTTTAATGAGACTGGTTGTGTTATTAATTTGAGACTGGTTGATAACACCGAGTGCTCCTAAGCAGCACTCGACCCATTGCACCTACAATTCTTTGAGCTTTAAACAAATAAAAGGTAAATACAATGACCTTTGTTTCTGTATTTGAGCTCTTTGTGTGTGTTAACATATCACTTACTTAGCTTACTGCTAAGAGACTTTGGTTGATCTCAGCTCCTTCTATGCGACTGTGTCTGTTTGTTTTTTTGGTGTCTGATGCCCTTTCACTTCCTGCCAGGTCTATAAACCACATACTGCAGGCAAGAAAGACAGATACACGTGTCTCATGTTGTCATTAAACACCATGTGAAATAGTTTTTTAATAATAAACATATGTGACCATATCAAGTGATGGACATACCTGCCAACTGTCTGCTGGTTTGGAGAACGAGAAGAAAGCGGATTTGCTCCACTTGTTCCCTGTGTCCACACATTCAAAGAGAATTTCCCCAAATTCTCTTCACACCAATTCTCTAAGAACACCTCTACTCTCTGGAAACAATGGGAGATCTTCACATCAACTTACTAAAAAACACCTCTACTCCCAACCTACTTCCTCACAGGGAACCCTGGAGCCATCCATTCCTTTTGATCTACATGACCATCTGTGGTTGACTGGACTTTATGGCTCCGTCTACCTCCCTTTCAATAACCCCCGCTCAGCAACAAATGGCTTATGAAACTACAGAATCACACCCTCCGATTCCGCTGAACCGTGGAGCAGCAGCATCACCTAGCGATGACTGTAGGCACAGTAACATAAACAGCAACAATAATATCATTGGCCACAAACGGCCCAACCTATTTCCTCCCATTGGTATACCACTTTTAAACACACGCCCGGTTTGCCGAAACCACTCCCCAAAAATAAGTATAAAAAGCGTAAACCAGTGATGACATATCAGAAAATATTTTTAAATACTATATAACTTTGTGTTGTAAGTTCCTTGAATAATTCTCCGGTTGTTAATTCGCTTTATTATTGGACCTGTTTTGTTTGACGTTTGTTATTAAAACAAATAGACCATCTACCGGCTGCTTCCACTCCTTGCCTGAAGACACCTCACACAGCAAGAATCTTTCAAATCCAATCTAATGTAATCTAATGTAACCTAATCTAATCTAACGTAACCTAATCTAACTTTACTGTTAGATTTCAGTGGTTTTCACATTTGGATTGGGTCTGAAAGCAGGAAGCTGCTAAGTGACCAAATGCCTTCCCAAGCACATACACTCACGTAGCCCCACACATTCAAAGAGAATGTCTCCCAAACTCTCCAGACTGCAAAACACCTCTACTCCCTGGGAACGATGGGAAGGCTCCTAATCCATATTCTCACAGCAAACCCCGGATCTATCCATTCATTTTGATCTCAGCAACAAAAGGTTCATAAACTGTCCTCCAGCACTGCTGAATCATGGAGCAGCAGCGCCACATTGTGGCGACTGCTGTTATAACCATGATACGAGAACAATAATATGAATGGCCTCTCTCTTCCATTGGCCTGACTACATTTAAACACACCCGGGAAGCTGGAAACCACTCCCCACACAGGTATAAAAGTGCACATCACTGATGATGCATTAGAAGTTATTCTTGAGAAGAAGGTTATTCTTGACTTTG